TTCTGAGACTGTTTCATGCTGGGATTCCACACATTTGCTCCAGACTCACCCTGAGGTTATAGGAAGGATCCTTGAGACTCAAGTTTGTCACAGACCCTTGGAGAGCATTCTTATAACTTGTCCCTGCTTCTTGAGCTGTAAAAGCAGAAGGGAGGTGCTGAGTTAAGATTTATAAATTGTTATCAAATAACTCTTCAACAATGGCTCAGTCCCAGGTCAATCACCATCTTCCACACTACCCTGAACTTTCCAGCCACCTTATGGAATTCAAAATATCACATTGGATGACTTCCGCCAGCCATCATTAAGAATGGACTCAAAATGCTACTGCTGTTCTTAATCTTTGATCAGTCATATAGAGTATGTGGGGGTGGAGAAGTGCTCTGTAGGTCAGTGAGTCTCAGCCGTGCCCTTTAGGCTGTGACACTATGGTGGGAATGAACTGTCAACAGAGCCAATGCTGAGGCTGAGGCTCAAAAACAGTGAAGACTGGGGGCTTTAGGGGAGACGGCCAGTGAATCTGGTCTCCTTTATCAAGGGAGAAATTGAAGGTGCCCTTTTCCATGTGTGGTTTTGTGAAACTGGGGACCCTAGTGACATTTTCCAGAGTTGGGTGGTGGCTGTCAGTCCAAATACTAGAGCCAGACAGTAAGTAGGGTTCGGCATATGCTCAAAAGCCCTGAATGTCCACAGCTCTGCCAGCTTGTGCAGAAAATGGGAGTACAAGTTCTTCCTTGAAGGCCAGAATGTTAAGAACTGCTTGGCAGCATTTTGCCAAAGTCATGAACAAGGGGCTATGGAGTCAGCAGATCTAGAATACTAAGGATATAAGGAATATGATCTCTAGCCACAAGCTAGAGGGAGCTGTGGTCATTCAGGTTCTGTTCCATCCACTTATCCAACAAATGAATCCCAATCAACCACAGGTACTGTGCACAGGCTACTTGCATGAGACCACTGAGAGGCCAAAATTCTTACCAGACTGCTTATACTTCTGGATTTTTGTCTTCAGGTCTATTCTGTGAATGTTCTTCAGGCATTTTTCTAATAAATCCAGCTGATCTGGAGCAACCAGATTTAGTTTCTCCAATTCAACCACAAGATCCAAGAAACTCTAAAAGAGCCACCAACAAGAAACAAATGTCAGTAGAGCTGACTAATAAGCTCCAAATGCAAACCCCAGGCCATGTGATTTACAACCACAAGAGAACGTGACAAGATGAGCCCTCTCAATGACCTTCAATGACCCTAAACCAAACATCTCTGACATGAGCAAATTAGACTCCTGAATGTTACTCAGAACAGAGGGGGTGGTCATCAACTTCCTGGGTTGGGGATAGACACATGTGCCATGTTATGTCATCAAGGAGGACCGTGAAAGAGCAAGCCTAAAAATAAAGCCTCTTGAATTCATTCTCTCCAGAAAGGCCAGGCTGGTGTTATACTGAAAAAGTCTAATAGTGTCCCTGAGAAAGGGAGAGAGAAGGTGGCTGGTGAAAAGGTTTTATGAGAAAAATCTCAGTTATACAGTTTTAAAGTTCCTAAAATATTTGAATCAATGCTGGACATTCCAACTCATTACAACTCATTCTGACTCAGGGGTGAAATTACAAGGTTTCAGTATTTTGCCATTCATTTACTTTGGGCCACAGGGATTGCAAAAGAACTATATTTCAGAAACAGCCTTGCTTTTGGTTTTATTTCCTTTGCCTTCAACATTTTGTTTTGTTTTTTTGAGACAGAGTCTCACTCTGTCACCCCAGGTAGAGTACAGTGGGATCATTATAGCTCACTGCAGCCTCAAACTCCTGGGCTCAAGCCATCCTCCTGCCTCCACCTCCCAAGTAGCTGGGACTACAGGCACACGCCACAGTGCCGGGCTAATTTTGCTATTTTTAGTAGAGAATGGGGTCTCACTCTTGCCCAGACTGGTCTTGAACTCCTGGTCTCAAATGATCCTCCCACTTCGGCCTCCCAGAGTGCTAGGATTAGAAGCATGAGCCACCAACATTTGGTTATTGATGTGCTATCTTTATTTTTAAAAATAATA